GAAAATTTTGACCCCAGGGGACATTTGGCAGTATCTAGAGACATATATGACTATCACAACACAAAAGAGGGTTGCTAGTGGAGTCTAATGGATAGGAAGGCCAAAAATATTATTAAACATCTTACATTGCACAAAACAGCTCTTCAATAGAATTATCTGACCTGTAAGGTCAATAGCACCAACAATTAAAAACCCTGACCTCTATCCCAAAGTCACAAAGATTTTCTCTTTGTTTTCTTCTAAATGTTTGTTAATTTTTAGCTCTTATGTCTACTGATCTACTTTAATTTTGGGGTATGATGTAAAGGAGGGGTCCAAATTTATTCTTTTGCATGAGGCTGTACTGGTGTCTTGGCACAATTTGTTGAAATGATCCCAATGGCTTTTCTGACTCCTCTGAATTATCCATCCCCTTTTCAAAAACTCAAATGACCATAAACATTAAATTCAAAATTTATTGTAATTAATGTTTGCATGGCACATTTTTCTATGATTTTACTTTTAACCTACTCACATCATTATATTTGAAGTGCTGTTTTTTGGGGTTTTTTTGTTTTTGTTTTTTTTTGGTTTTTTTTTTGTAGGAGCATGCAGTTGGGTCCTGTTCATGTTCATGTAGACAAAAACATGTCCAACTGTAGGTTCACTAATTTCTTATGTTTAGATTGAAGTATACTAGTTTATTATTTATTTATTTATTTTCTCTCTTTTTCCTTTGCCATCCATTGTTTGAACATTTTTAATATCCCATCTTATCTTTTGTGTTTTTTACTTTATCTTTGTGTAGATTTTTAGTGATTCTCTATGGATTATTTTATATATATATATATTAACTTTTTAGAGTCTAGGTAGAATCAGTAGTTTGCCACTTAGACTAAAATGTAGAAATATTACTATTATGGTGGGGGGTCCTTTTCCTTACTCTTTATATTCCAGTTGTCTTCTGTGTTTAATCTATTAAATACATTGAAAAATCCTAAGATGATGTTACTCTTGCTTTCAACCATAAAACACATTTTAAAGAACTAAAGGGACAATCTCTTATTTATACTGAGAATTTTACTATTTCTATTGCTCTTTATGCATTCCTGGTATTCCTAATTTCCTTCTGATATCACTGTCCCACTCTCTAATGAACTTCCTTAAGGAATTCTTTTAGAACACATTTTTTGGAAATATTTAGTTTCTTTAATTCAAAAATGTCTTTATTAACCCTTCATTTCTGATTTTCTTCTGGATATAGAATTCGAGTTTGGAAGTTTTTCTGTTAGCGGTTCAAAATGTGCCACTTTTTTCTGACCTCCATAGTTCCAGAGGAGAAATCTGCTGTCAATTGAATTGTGTGTTCCTCCTTTGATTTCTCAGGCTGTTTTGAAGATTTTTTTTCTTTTTCTTTAGTTTTCAGCAATTTGATTATTATAGATGTTATAGTGAATTTCCTTGTGTTTGTTTTATTTTAGGTATACTAAACTTCTTTACAAGCTCAGTTCTTTTGGTGAACTTGAAAGCTTTCCACATTTCTTTAAATAATTTTTCTGCATCATCCTTTTTCTCCTTTTCTTTGGGATGCTAATGATATAAATGTCTGCAGGCCCTGAAGCACTGCTTATTTTTTCAGTCTTCAATTTTTTATGTCTTTCAGCAGGGGTAATTTCTCTTGATCTACTTTCAAGTTAATTGATTTTACTCTGTCATCTTTGTTTTGCCATTTAGCTCATCTAATACATTTTTTGAATGTTTTTGTTTTAAATTTCACTCAGCTCTTTTTCATATCTTTTATTTCTTTGTTATGACTGTTTCCACTTATTTCCAGAATATCCACGTTAGTTTCTCACATAAAAATATCTCCTCCTGAAAGTGCTCATGATGTTTTCCCCATGTATTTTAACCTTAGACTTATTCTTCCTTTTCCTTGTTTTTTTTAAAGGGGGGAGGGAATTTGGGAACTGAACTCAGAGCTTCACTTGTATTAGGCAAGTTGCTCTATACTGAGCTACATCCCCAGCCCTTTTTATTTTGAGTCAAGGTCTTGCTAAGTTACCCAGGCTGGCCTTGAACTTGTAACCCTCTTGTCTCAGCCTCTTGAGTAGCTGGGATTACAGGCATGTCTTTTAAAGAACCAGGAGCAGAATGCACAAAAATCCTACTACTTGAAATAATTTGTTGCCTCTACTGTGTTCATATTAGAATGCTTGTCTCAACTAGGTTTCCTCAATTTGTGTTCAGAAAGAGTAATAAACTTAAGGTTTAAGTGTGAATTTTGGTTCTGTCAAGTGCTAGCAGTGTCACTCTGATAAGTCTCTTCCCTCTCTCAGTAACATCTTGCTGAGGTCAAATTGATCTCGGAGGTGCTTTCCTGAAATACCATTATAGAGTTCTCTGGTCTATGAGGCATGGAAAGCAGTATCCACGTTTGTCTGTTGGATATGTTTCTCTCACTCTCGTTGGTCTTAGGATGATAATAGAGACTATTTTTATGATATTAGGGTTTAAAATTTTAGAATTCCTAGAGGGCAGAACACTATTAATGAACATTCAGTGTAAGTATTTCCTCAGAGGGGAATAAAGGGAAATTTTTTGTCTTAATGAGAAATCACATTTTATATGTCATGGACAGTGGATATTAACATCTTTCCAACTTCCTTCTGCCAAACAGACGGACAAACTGCTCTTAAGGAAGTCTTCTCAACATCTAACTTGTGTCCCTGCTGCTGTACTTTCCCAAAGTCAACCTGGCCTCCTGGTTCTAACTGTATCATGTTGTTTCTGGACTGCCTGGGGACCCTTGGCCCCTCCACTGCTGTTTTCTCTGCTTTCCACAGCTACTTCAGCTCTCGGCTGCTGCTGTAGACAAGGGACGCAGCGTAGGGGAGGTTCTGCAGTCGGTGCTGCGCTATGAGAAGGAGCGACAGCTGGATGAGGCGGTGGGAAATGTCACACGGCTGCAGCTGCTGGACTGGCTGATGGTGAACCTGTGATCGTGCCCACTCTCTGCATCCCCTCTTCCAGCAGTGGGCCCAGCCCTTGCCCCACCCACTCCCCCCTCATTCCCACAGCTCCCTTGTCCTTATCCTCACAGAGCCCTAACATTATCTTCATACCACTCACATGAAAGACATGTCATCTAATGCTAGTCACTGGATTTTGCACATTTTCCTGTCCATACGAGCAAGGACATAAAATTAAAAAAATTAAAGAGCTCCGTGTATTTGGTTTTCTTGGCATCTAAACGGTAAAGATTCAATAAGGTCCAGAAATCTTAGGAGTGAAAAAAAGAGACGAATGGCAGAGGCAAGCAGAATTATGCTGAACTGAGAGACACCGACAAAGGTTGCTGTTTGCTATATATCTCCTGTCTGTGTGCCTCAATTTACAACTCCCCTCATTTTAAATCTTGCCTTAAAATAAGCCACAGTTTTACCTTTTATAATCATGAAAATGAGAAAAAAGTTTCTAATATCCAAACAAAATCAGTCTAGTTATATGTTCTAGACTTTACTTCTTGTTGTAGGTCTGCTGAGCGGCAGAACCCCAGTCAACCTCCAACTTTATCCATGATTGAAGATGGTGTCCAAAGAGGTTCCTCAAGGCTGAGGGTGTAGCTTAGTACTTGTTGCACATGAAAGAGAGGCCTAGGTTCAGTCTCCAGCACTGGGGAAAAAATGTTCCCAAGACCTGAGTTCTCTGGCCAGTTCTGTGACCTCCTGGCTATAGAACCAAGGACAAGTTATAGCACTGCTCTGACTAAATGCTCGTGACACCCCACTTAAAACATTTTCCATTCTTACCCACCTCCCTAGAAATGTTTTTGACCTTTTTTCCCCTCCTAGAAACTTTTTCCTCTTTGTCTTCTAATTTTCCTCCTATTTCTCTAGGTCTCTTAGGGGCTCTACTCTGTCATGTTGTAATTTTATCCTACCCGGACTTTCTCTTGACTCTTTGCTATCCCGTGTCCTCTTCCCTAGGTGATCTCTTCTACTTGATATCACCATTTTTGGAATATTATGTAGTATTTTTAAAGGAAACTATGAAGCCAGGTATATTTTCCATGTTGTTTATGATCTTAAGTTTCATTCATATTTTGTTTGTCCTGTGATACAACCATATAGAAATTGTGGTTTATGTAGATAGAACTGAGAAGGGAAATAAGTGGACTTTATTGGATTTGAGGAGTGGTGGATGAATGAAAATATCCTGCTTATGAAATCAACTTCCCTCCTTCGGGAAGCACTTTATCCCCTACTCCTTCCTAGAGAAGCAACAGTCATGGCATTTTCAACACAACTACAAGGTGGGCTTATAATCCAGGTGAGAACCACAGAGGACCACAGTCTCTCAGATACAGTTGAGATACAGTCATTTTTGAGACTTCCCTGCCAGCAAGGAAGACTATCTTTTGACTGGATGTTGGTAGTCATCTTAACTTCTGGGATGAGCCTTCAGTCATCAGGATGAAGCTAAATATAGGAAAATCAAGGCAGAAGAGAAAAAGAACAGGAAGAAGGAAAGAGAAAGAAGAGGAAAAAGTAGCAAGGTTAATCTGAGCTCTGATGACCTTATTTGAATTCCTAGATACAGCTGTGCCTAAAACTGCATCTACCCCACCTGATTCCCCTTATTACTTAAACTAATTTGAACTTAGTTTTTGTTATTTCCAAACAAAAATTCTGATAGATATAGGTTGACAATCATGGGCAAAAAGAAAAAAAAATTTTATTTAAAGTACCATTAATTATACTAAAACTACCCCCAAACACACACACACACACACACACACACACACACACACGTAGCTAAAGAGTGAGTTCAGGTATAAGGACATCCACCCACATCATTCATAAGAGGAATCAGGCCAATTGTCTATGTGAAGAAAGAGTTGATTTTTTAAAAACAAACCTTTATGCATTGAAAAACAACAATCTGAAGTATTCTACAATATAAGTGCTGTCTTGAATACAAATCACTGGAAAGGAACGGGACACAGGACCCTTCAGCCAGGGTCATACAATACGTGGTAAAATGTTTGTATTACTAGAGGAGGAGCTTGGGCCACTTTGTTCTGTGGAGGGTTTGGCCACCTCTGGTTCAGTAACAGCCTCTGGCTTTCTGGGATCCTCTACTAGAGGAGGCAGCTGGACAGTCTCAATAGTGTGCTGGACAGAGCCCTGCTGATCAGCTGAATTCTGAACATTCTTAGTGGCATCATCTTTTATTTTGTCTGCAGTCTCTTTGGTGGTCTCATCTGCCAAAGGATGGAAAAGACGGAATGATGTTCAAATATGAATGACTGCATATTCTAACTTTCTGTTAGGTTGTAAATCATTTTGGGAAAATTGTGGTTATAATGATATAAAAATTGTTCATTTGTAAAGCACATTCTAATGTGCTAGGCATCATTCTAAGCACTTCACATTTACTGATTCATTTGATCTTTTCAGCAGCACTACAGAATAAGCATTATTCTCATTCTCATAAATAGGCAAATGCATCTGCATATCATGGTTAAGTAAATTATCCAGGAGCCCACACCTGGTAAGTGGTAGAGCCAGAATTTCATCCCAAGTACTTTGATACCAGTGGCCTATGCTTAACCACTAAGCTATATTACATATAAAAGATTTGCATAATCCTAGAATTTGTCAGTGATAAAAATTCAAAAGGTAATTATAGGGCATAAAGAGGCAGACACAGTGAAAGAAAAGGGAAGGAATAGAAAAGGGATTGAATATGGGAGAAAAATGGAAAATCCCTCATAAGGCGGGTGGGTGGCTATGGCTAAAAGCCAAGTTTCTTGAAAAAGAAAAATTCTCAAAATAAGAAAGGGTAGACTAATAATGTCATAGCCAGAAATAAATTATCCAAGACTAAGTTCAAAGAAATTGACCTTCCTCTAGAAGAACCTGACTCCCTGAACTATGGGAAGAGGACTGTCTGGCTGAGGGCTATACCTGTTTGGGTTGAGTGATGATACTCTTGAACCTTGTTCTTGCTTATCTCAGAAGGAAGAGAGACATTGGGTTTCCTCAGGGCCTGGGGCCTGGGCCGTGGTTTGAGGTTCCGTGGCTCATGAATCCAAGCATGCTTGAGGGCCTGATCAGGGGTCATACGAAGAGAAGGTTCCCATCTGCACATCAACAAAGCCTGGCATGGATTACTCTTATTTTCTCTTAATATTAAAATAATTTTAAGAACCCAATAAAGATATTTTTCATTGAGCTATGTCCTAATCTCAAATATATTATCACAGAACAAAGATTATATCAAATAATTTAAAAGTATCTGAGAACAACTACTAGAAACAATTTTTTTTTAAAAAAATGTATGTGAGCTGGGGAATATATTAAATTTCAAATTTTCTAGATTTCTAGAAATTTTCTTAAAAGAAGTATTATTTAAAAACCTTACCTATTTGGAATTAGGATTTCATAGGCTAAAATATTAGAAACAGATATTTAATTTCAATTCCCAAGATGTGGGATTTGGACCTCCATATATATCATAAAGGAAATTATAGAATTTTAGAATATTAAGATTTATAAGGTGACTTGGATATGATACAGGCAAACTTCTAACAAAGTAATAAAATGCATTTGACGGAATTCCCAACATAGAATTACCTAGCCATTCTCAAGTAATATCAGTAACTTGGCAGTAAAGTCACAGATCCTCCTATTTCAATTTTTAAAAACTCTGATTCTTTAAAAGTTCTTGATTTTTATTGGACCAAAATTGGCTCACTTTTCAGTGAATTTTACCCAGGTCCTAATTCTACCCATTAGCATTTTGCAGAATAAAATAATCTTACATGTCAGAGTCCCTCAACTACCAGAAAACACATCACTACTATTAGTCATAGTTAGTAGTTTCCACCATCTAACCACCTTCCAAGGTAGGAAATTCTAGCTATTCTCCATCATGCTGGGAATGAATAGCTGCCAACTGCAGGGAGATGGTATTACTAGTCCAGACTCAAAGGCATGAGCAATTCAAGCTCCCAGTTTTTTGTCAAATGAACTGCTTCTTAAACTTCATCTCCCCTCTTCTGGACTTCTGGAGCCTGCCAATAAAACCTGCACATAAAGCTAGGTGTTTACTAATCCTATTGACTTTAGCTAAAAAAATTTGGTTTCTCACTCCATAAATTGCTGATTAGCAATATATATATATATAGATAGATTAGGGAGTAGACCCCCATCAACTTGAATCATCTCTTACAAGTTGTGAGCAATTGATGTTTTACACTAAAAAAGAAAATAATATTTTTCTTGTGCTAAGCTGTGTTCAGGATGGCTGGGTTTCTAGACAACTCACCTGTCTCACTGGGCAGTTTCTGGCACTTATTAAGGCACATTCCCTCTATGGCCTGAGCATGGAGCTGGGGGATATGTTGGTAAAAATAGGGTACAGAATCCTTATCTCAATTATTCAGAGAAGTAAATAGTATAACTCCCATAGATGAAAATATTTTCAGTGGTATCTGATGGTTTTCCCTCTAAGCTAGAACCTAAATTACAGTATGCACAAATGCCAAAGAAGTATTTTGCTAAAATTACTCCACTGGAATAATGAGAGAATAATAAAGATATGGTCTTCTAAAACTAAACAACTGTAGAACTGATAGAGATGGAAGGTACTTTAGGAATGCCCCCACTTTATAGAAAAGGAAACTGAGGTCCAGAGAGAAATGATAACTTGTCGAATAGCACTCAGCTAATACTTGCACTCAGTGGAGATGGACTTGAGAAACTTCTTTAATAGTAAAATAGAAGCAATAGCCAACATTTTCCAAGAACCTTACAAACTGTACACTGTGTTGGGTGCTTCGTGTGGTGACTCCTTTTCCATTGTGATTTGATCAAAGTACAAAACCTAATTTTTAAGATTCAAAATATGCATATAGATTGTAAAAAGTTGTACGTAATAAATGTTTTACAACTCACCTGCCTCTAGTTCCCTAATGCAAGGGGATTTGGGCACTGAATCCTAGGGGAATGGAGAGGGGCTCTGAACCTATTATATTCTGGTTATAATAGGCTCACTAAAGAGGTTGCCTTCCATTCAAGAAACAGAAGACATTAGGATTTGCTTACAATCTCACTGGCATGCAGCTTCAGGTCAAGAAGATGACAAATCCTAACACACACTGTAATCTACACCAAATCTCTCTTGAAAACCAGCTGCATATCTGCAAAATACAGCAGATATCTGCCCTGATCATCACACAGTAGGGGGAGAGCACTGTTTCATGAGGCAGACATGAAAGCAATTTGGAGACTGCAAAATTCTACCATTGATGTTTTTATAACCATCTCCCAGTCTTAGACTTTCAACAGCAAACACATGCAAAAGTACAAGTACTTAAGAGGAAACCCAGTACTTAAGAGACTCCCCAACAAACTCACACCAAACACCTTCTGAGAAAGTCCAGGAAGCTGGTGTCATAGGTTTTCAGCACCATCGTGAGATCCTTGGAATCCGGGTATCTTTTTTTCCCCCTGTTGTTGGTTATAGTTTTAGGAAAACCTTTGGAATCTTTAGAGATACAATATTCTGTATTTAGTTCCAGGTGTAAATATTCACTGGTCACATCACAGCTGTCCACTCAACCACACTGCTTCCTGAAGTCATCTTTGCAGTTCTTCTACTTTCTGTCTTAACACACACCCTAACCCACCCATCCCCATACACACACACACACACACACACACACACACACACACACACACAGTCTCAGTCACTTTGAAATAACCCAGGTTGATTATTCCATGAATGCAATTAACATTAAAAACAATTTTTCCTACTATTCAGTAGGTTCTGAGCCTCTTTCACACAACTTCTCCCTAAATCAAATGATAGTTTAGTTGAATATAAACAAAGGCAAGATAATAATGATGATGAATGATAATGGTGATGGCAATGATAATCTGAAGTGTCAAAAATGGCTTTGAACAAAAAGGATATAGTCCCTTTCTAAACTATCTGTGTCCTCACTTCTTCCCCACTAGCCCAAGTATGTGAAAATTTGGGACATCCACAGGTACAAGAAAGAAAGCTATTTTAGGAGAATGCTCTCAGGGCTCATTTACAAACCATACAAGCAAATCACCCTCATTACACCTTTACACTTATACCAAAATTTTGACCATAATTGGAATATTCCAACTTGGTTGGTTGCTGAAGACACAGTTTAGAATGGGGACAAACCACCAATGTATGGTTTGTCATCCCTAAAAAGAAGCCCCCAAAATAGCTCCAAAGGTTTCCAAGGATATTTTGTGCAATGCTTTGAAGGTAAKATCATTCACCTTGACATTCAGATCCTTGTGTGCATGCTTAGAAAAGTTGACCACTTATTGCTTATACCCTGTAAGTCTGCACCTAAGTGGTAAATGTGTATATGCACAAACACACAGTTTACACTATTGAATTCTCACAGAACTCAGTGGAGTTCAAGTTCTGCACATTCTAGAGGGTAAATAATAAAGTTCTACTACTTTTGTAACCAGTGTAATTTTCAGGTCCTCCAAAAGACAACCACTCTTACTGAATTCCTAGGAAACTCCCATAAATGTGTACATGAGCGTGTGTGTACATACACACACAGATATCTCTGTATTGATATGCATAAAAGTGACTGGGGGAATTATGTTGCTCTTTTTTGTTGACCAAAGAATTATGTTCACCAAAGAAGAATTGTGCTCCCAGTTCTCTAAACAACTTATCTCCTAAAGTAACATTTAAGTAATTGTTTTTCTCATCAAAGTCTTCCTCACACCTCTGGGCCTCCCCAATATCTAATCATTCTCTCCATCTTCTTCCTGCTGCTGCCTCGGGCACCCATGTGTCTCACTATCCTTGAGGCAACATCACTTTGCTGCTTATGAGGAGTATTAACTAGGAGTGGCTAGGAGCCGAGAAGCTGTTGGCAGCCCAAACATAAGAAAAGGAAAATCAAGAACCAACATGAACACAGTATTTACCATAGGCACCTTGTCAGAAGACTCATAAGGAGCTGTTGTCAAAAACAGAATCTTGGATCCTGCTTCAAACTTACTATCTCATAGATCATTAAGAATGATCATGGGAATTAGCATTTTTGCCAAGTGCCCAAATGATTCTTGTAATTTGAAAAGTTTGGGGAATACTGGAGAGTAAAGACCCTTGCACAGGAAGTGAAACTGTTTGAATGTTGCTACCAAAACCCTATTGCCATCCTATAGCCTAGTGCTGATGGTAGAGATCAAGTAGTCAGTGAAATGGACATGCATATGTCTTTGGTATCTCCCCTCCAAGATGCCCTGTGGTCCCTTCTTTCTAGTCACCACTATGATGCTATCTCAGTGAGGTCAGCGTTAAAGGCTTAGGATGTGACTCTTCTCCAATGACTTTGTCTAGCAGAAAGAAACATTAATATCCCCACTTTTCTTCCTCCAAATCCTTCAAAAATCCAAAAGGCTGAATAATGTAAGTGGTGGATGGGGAAAGTATATAGGGTCAAAAGACCAGTCCTATTGCTTAATGTGTGTGATATCAGTAAGTCAGCTAGAGCTTCTGCCTACCATCTAACAGCTCTGAAGAAAGATGAGTATGTGGACACCATTTTGTGGCAACCAAGACACACTCTTGATCAGAGAGGCAAGGTCTTCAAAGCTCCATCCACAATTGAAAGATGATGTTTTAAGAGATTTAATCACTGGAATGGCATGGGACCAACTAAGAATGGATGATACCTCACTACTGAACAAAGAAGGATCATGGAACACCTCTGCTTGCTGAGCCTTCAGATTTCAGTTTGGGGATCATGGGGAGTCCATGGAGAACAGGAAAAAGGGTCAGGAATCCGATATAGGGCTCAGGCCTGGGATGTTTTACCAAATGGTATAGAAGGAGACTACAGTATAATCCCCACATACTGGACCAGTRCACACTGGTTCAGTATGTGGGAATTATACTGTAATCCCCATGAAACCATGGCTCCCCCATGAGAATACTTTGACTCTCCTATTGATGGGGCAAGTTGTGAAGTGAAATTGTGTGACTTACATACCCATTCTGAGGCCACTTTCAGTTGAAAATGAGAGTGGGAGGGCTAGGAAGACTGGGATGGCATAGCCTGTGTAAGCCCATGAACTAACCTGACAACAATAGCTTGTCAAGACCCTCTTCGTTATACAGAATACATGTATGATGATGTGAGGGGAAAAGAAAAAGAAGTGTGTCACATTAGAAGAGAGAAGTGATGGGAGGGGAAGGGTGGGGAAGGGGGGAATGGAAGGACAGCAGAATAAAATAGACATTATTATTGCTGTATGTATATAGGTGACTGCATGACCAATGGGATTCTGCAACCTGTACACTCAGAAAAATGAGAGATTATACCCCATTTGATTCAATTGTATGATATGTCAAGATCATTGTACTGTCATGTGTAACTAATTAAAACAAATTTTAAAAAGAAAATGCAAAAGAAAAAAAAAGAATTGTCATGCAAAAAATCAAAACAAAACAAAAAACAACAAAAAAGTACATGTATAAAGACATGAATTGGCATAAACATACTTTATATACAAAGATATGAAAACTTGTGCTCTATGTGTAATAAAAATTGTAGTGAATTCTCTAGTCATTTATTTTAAAAAATTGAATCAATAAAATAATATTTTTAAAAAATGTCATTCCAGATGGCAGGAAGGCCCTGTCTGTAGAGTCTTCTCTCCCTCATGTCTGATTTTGCTCCACGTTGCTAACATTAAAGCCAATATGACTTTTTAAAAATATTTAGTTATAAATGGAAACAATGCCTTTATTTAGTTTTTATTTTCTTTAATGAGGTGCTGGGGATCAAACCCAGTGCCTCATGTGTGAGAGGCAAGCTCTCTACCACCGAGCCACAACCCCAAGATGACTTTTTCTGCCTCATAACCCCTTAAGCTTTTTGTGGTTCTTCAGAGAGAATTTAGATCTGGAATTTACTTTATCTTGTCAGTGTCCTGGAAGCCCTACCTCAGTTGGTATCTTGTTGTTCCATCTGTTCAACGTGTACAGCACCACTCACATAGAAAGACAGAGGATCATAGAATTCAGGGCCTGGGAATTGTGATGAGAGGGGCAGCACAGGGCTGCACATAACACTGAATCCCAAAACTCAGACACATGACCCAATCATAATTGACCAGCAACAACACATCTACACCGAAATTGTTCTGACAGGCCTTAATTATTCATTTTATGACAGAGTAACAGTGAACCTGGGGCAGTAAGGGTCTTGGGGATTAGAAGTTTTGGGGCAATAAAAATAATGTTCCATTAATGATAAAACATAGCAATGAAATTCCCCACTACTCTCTAAAAGAAGTCTGCTCCAATATTTCTGCACAGTGCATGGCTTGAGAGAGCAAATTGCTTGGGAAGGTAGGGAGAACTAGGAGTGGAGATCATTATCTTCTGAGGTTCTAACACTTGCTGATAGGTCTTCTGAGTGGGAACCTGATCATTCTCCTGCTCCAATGCATTTGTATTGCCAAGAACCCATTCCCCTTGTGATTTCACCCATCTCATCTCCAGCATGCCATCTGGGACCACTTTTCATTGCCTGTAAGTTCCTAAACCACATCCTGCCCTTTGGTATGGGGACAGGAGAAAAGCAAAATATGAGATTTAGGGTATGGGAAGTACCTTCAAGACCTGTGACACCTCATTAGACACAATGAGATAAAGAGATTAGACTTGGGGACTTACCAAAGAACGTCTGTCTCCTGGAGGCCRTCTGAATGAAGTGGGCTGGCGGCAGACCCAGCACCTTCAACAAGCACAGTGTAGTTGGTTCACTCTTGGTGAAGTCACAGATTCAAAGACTGTTAAGAGCTAGGTGGGACTTTGGCCACATTTTGCCTTTTACAGATAAGAACTTGAGGATATTAAGTGATGACATCAAGTCAGTAGCATGGYRGACCYAGAGCTCATGTCTCCAGGGCTGTYTCAGTATCTTAAGATTCACATGCTATTCTAAACATACATCAGCACCAACAAAGGCAAGCCACTTTGATAGCCGCCAGATCTCAATATCGGTACATGCTGATCACATTGAATTAGGAATGACWCACCCCAGCATGGAACACYGGGAAGAGAAGGGASGGAAAGGAGATACAAATCACCAGAGAAGGCATTTCTTGTAAGATAAATTCCTTCTTGGAAAGAAAAGTATAGGCCTACTTATTCACTTTTCTCTACTGAACCTTATAGGAGTGTACAGATAAAGAAATTTATGRGTTGCTCTCAGCCCTAGGTTTCTGGCCATAATCCATGCACAATCCTGCCTTCCTGCTCCTCAAMCCTACAGATATCAAGGGGAAAYTGAGTCAGTCCTGGGGCAGTGGGAAGCTCAAGCCAGATGCCCCATTCACCTTGGTATTAGAAGCAGGAATGGTTCAGGGATATTTCATAAAATCATTACTAACCTTAAAAGTCATCTGGTCTGACTCCCTCATTTTCCAGTCCAGAGTGGGAAATGACTTGCCAAAAAGTCAGAACAAGGACTAGACCCCAAATTTACAAACTCCCAGGCCAGTGTTGATTCCACCATAGTTACCATTTCTAGATATTTTCATCTAAATTATTTTAATATTTTATTATTAGTTTCAAACAACAAATGAAATCATCTATATTTAATACTTCTCAAAGGCATTTGTCACTGATTAACTTTGAGACAATCTAGAAAACAGAAATTTAGCTTTTGATTTAGAGAGATTCACAGTCAAACTTTTATCAGTTTACTAGGAAAATCCTAAAATTTGAATTTTTCAAATTTTTAGTTATTTTCTCCATTTTGTCTAATTTATCTCTACAAGAAAACTTCATTGAAAAAAAATGAGATGTGATTAATAATCCTGTGATGAGTCTTAGTAAAGCCTTTTTATGGGAAATAGTCCTCCCAGGTTAAAAGAGCAAAAGTCATTACTGAACGCTACCCTATTTTTTGTCAGATAATTTTCAATTATTTGTTTCAGCTGATAGGTTGATAAAAATAATTTCTGATGATAGATCATTATTCATTTGTTACAGAGAATTCAAAAAAGTCATAGAATGAGGCAACATAATTAGAACAGGTTTCCTTCTTGGGTTCACATCTTTGGAATCAATGTATCGTAATGGCCTGGTCCTGAGCCTGTTCATTGTAGCAAGAAGTAATGTTGGGGCTGGGGTTGTGGCTCAGTGGTAGAGCACTTGCCTAGCATGTTTGAGGCACTGGGTTCAATTCTCAGCACCACATATAAATAAATAAAATATAGGTCTATCAACAACTAAAAAAAATTTTTTTAAAGAAGTAGTGTTCACTTACAGGTATAAAAATTAATGGGAAAAAGAGAAAACTCAGCTCCATTTATTCTTCTAAGAGGTGTATACAATGTGAAGTAAAATTTCACATTTTATGCCTACTAATTATCTTAATTTATGCACTAGTTCTATTTTAGTGATCTCTTGAAAAAAATTCTACACATGGAGCTTATGATAATAAAAATTTGAAGTTACAGTGATTGATATATTTAAAAATAAAGCTATATTAAATTAGAATAAAATTCTATATATGAGGTAGAATTTTAAAAAGTTCATTCAAGGAGGAAAAAGAGTTAAAGAAAGGTACAACTGTTAAAGAACTTATTCATGTCCTTTTAAAGGTAGATTTTGGTGGGTATTAGGTCACTCTTTTTTTTTTAATTCTTTTGGCTATATTTGAAAGATTGCTTTAACAGTTTTATTTTTAAATGTCACAATTTACATTAAGGGGGAAATGGCATCCTTTGAAACTATGTAAATTTATAATAAAAATGTTAGTTCTCAAAAATGTACAAGAAGTATGTAACTTCAAAAACACTTTTAGGGAAACTTTGACCAAAGGAAAAAAAAATAGTATGCAGGCCACTGCCCTTGATGAGTCTGATGTAGCCCCATGTCAGGACGGAAGCCATCCAGGGACATCAACCAAGCAGGCCTTCCTCCTCACCTCCATGATGCAGGCCAGCTGCTCCACCTCATTCTCCCCCGGGAACAGAGGGTAACCCGTGTACAGCTCTGCCAAGATGCAGCCCAGGCTCCACATATCAATGGCCATATTGTAGGGGTGACCCAGAATCACTTCAGGGGATCGGTAGAACCGGCTTTGGATATAGGTGTACACTATTGGGGCAAAAAGAGAAATCTGATGTGGGAAAGCTGGCTTTCTCTCTGGGGCCCCCTCTCCAGGATAGTTTGGCAATTGAAGATGGCAGATAATTTAGAATCCCCCTATCCCCACCTTCTTACCCTATTGAGCTCTGCAAGATGAAAGTAACATCAAAAACAAAACATCATCAAATCCTCACAACAACCTGATGATAAATGAAGGTGCTATTATCCCCACTTTATTGATAAGGAACTCCAAAGTAGGCATTGTTTTGAGCAAGTTAAAGCAGGGTACTTTAAAACACTTTATGTCAGACAAGTTTTTAAAGAAGCAAACCATAAAACTAATATAAACTAAGTTTTCAAACTGTCAGGTGAGCTTTGGAAAGATAATTTCTGACAGTTTGTGATTTGGCACTGGGGGAAGCATATCAGAATTGGAAGTGTACAGAATGCAAAATTTAAATTCAATGTCTATTCAATATATTATATATAGATAGATAGATAGATAGATAGATAGATAGATAGTATAATGAAGTACTAAAAGAAAAGCTCAACAAAAATCTCAGCAAATAAAGATAGAAAGAAGATTATATTGTAAGGGGCCTAAATTTTACAGATAAGGAATCTAAAGCCAGGGAAATGGAACATTTTGATTTTTCCTATGTTGTGATTTCCTGGATTGAGAGGGGCTATAATCACTTCTTTAATGTTTAGATTGGTTATAAGAATGTAATAATTCTGTAACTTAAAATAAATGTTTGATTAAAAACAACTTTTATACCATGCCTTTTCCAAAATGAATTTGAGTACTATGCCAAGTTCATATATACTTTAAAACATGAATTTTAATGGCACCTGTGTGGTGCTTAGCAAGTGCCAGGCACTATTCCAAGTGCTTTAGGTAGATGAATTCTTTCAATCCTTACAAAAAGCCCTATGAAGCAGGTACTATTTTTGTCTCAATTTTAAAGATAAGAAAACTGAGAAATTGTCAAGATCATTCAGCTTCCAGTGAACAGAGCTGGGAATTGAAACCAGGAAGTCCAATTCCAGTATCCATACTCCATACTGCCTCATAGTTAAAGATAAAAGGAAAGTCAGGAGAAATATAAAGGAGGAAGTTACTGTCAGAAAGCAAGTATACAGTAATTGCAAACTCAGTTCTGAGCATCCTGGCAGCCCAAGATAAATAGCAACTAATAGGTTAATATAGTTGCCAATATCTAAAAAAAGTAAACATACAAGTTCTTTATGGGGAGAATTGTTTTCTGGATGGAATTATTATAGGATCCATATGGAAAAATATATTAGGATATAGGTCCTCCAAAGTGGTTCTGCAGACTATTTGGGAATACCTATCCGGTAGTCCTTTCTGCGGCCTCAGAGGGCTCCCTCTGACACATTCTGACACCAGGAAGGCTGGTCCCAAAGTCTTTTTGTGTGTGTGCCCTTAATAGAGCCTGTGTATCTTTCTAATCATTCTACCTATTTTATTTTACTTTTTTTAAATCTTTCTGTCTCTTACATTATACATAAGCAACCCAGGACAGGTAATATTTCATGTTTTGGTTTTGGTACCCAAACCAGCAAATGATGAATACCAGAAAATAGACATTTGTTGAATGGTACATGTTTTCTACATCAGTCTTGACAGAAGCCAAGTTAATTGAACTTAAATCAAATCCAATAAAGGTTGATGCAAATGTGCTCCAGGGCTACTTCCTGCATTCTAGTTTGGGAAAAAAAAAAAAGTACAAAGCCTAGAGAATCTAGGACAGTAAATCCCAAACATTAGAATGGCTGTTTTCTAAAGTGCAAACTCCTGCGCACTCTCCAGAAATTTAGTAGGGTGAGGTCCTGGAAACTATAATTTTTCAAAGGTGTTTCTAATACACCTGTAGTTAGTTTTGTGACCCAATGTTTATTGGTAATTTCATGTCCACAGAATATAAGATCTTTAAAGAGCCTCTATGGTATTTGAATCTAATTTCTCATTTTATAGATGAGGAAACTTAGGCTCAGAGAAGTGAAACGCCTTGTTCAGAATCATACTAGTAACCCTGGATGGCTGATCCTAGATTGGAACCCAGGTAGTCTTGTGTGTAAATGGAGAGAAATTGCAATGGGAGAACTCTGACAGTAGGGAACCTACCTTTCTGGTGCTCATAACAACTGGACCCAAAGTCAATAACTTTAACTGCGATTTGGCCCTTTTGGTATAGCACTATATTTTCCTAGCACAAAGAGAAAAAAGATCAAGTTTATAAAAATTAATGTTGTCCAAGGTGCTCCGCTTACTTAAATGCTCACCCCTACAGGGCCTAGTTCAAATCTGACCACCTTCAAACTCCTCCTCTGGCATCTTCTCTACATTCCATTGTGCTCTCCTGCTCTTATTTCCCATTGACTTGTAGTCTACATCTTCTTTGGATTCATTATTCACTGTTTTGCATGTATTTTTCCCCATATTGATTATGTAACTCCTGAAGATGGTGGGTTTATTAATATCTTCTTCCACACCCAGTTCTGTGCCTCACTTGCCTTACAAATGTCACTGAATTGGTTTAATGCCCCTGTAGACCTACCATTATGACAATAAAGAACATAAACAAACAAACAAACAAATAAATAAGTTAGATCGAGGTTTGTGTGTGTCTCACACTGACTTTGGGGAACCCATAAAATGACAAAGTGGAGATTCTGGGCTCTCCTTTCAGCACTGGCTGAGGTTGGAAGATTAAAGTCCTACTTTGTGCCTCAAGGATCTCACTGTCAGATGAATGGACCATGTGGATTGCTTGATGAGTACATAACATGGCACATATGAAGCCTCTGGTGCCAAAACTAAAAATCCAAATTTACTCCACAGTATCTTTTCTAAAGAATGCTTGTGTTAAGGCAAGGAGGATAATTAGCAGAAATCTTAAAAGAATTTCTAGTGTGTCTCTAGCCCAATGGAAAAAAGACCCCTTCACTAGATGGGGCTGGCCCTTTGTTATGATAAAAGCTCAAAGTTTGCTGTGTGGAAGGCTTAGTCATCAGCCTATGGCACTGTGGAGAGGTGGTAGGTCCTTTAAGAGCTGGGACTAGTTGGAGGAAGTTAGATCACTGAGGTTGTGCTTTGAAGGGGATATTGGGACCGGGACCCTGTCTCTCTCTTTGGTTCCTAGATGCATGAGGTAACAGCTTTGCTCTGCCATGAACTCCTAATGCCATGTTCTGCCTCATCACATGGTTGAATCTATTCAATCCTGGAGTGAAACCTCTGAAACTGTGATCCAAAACAAACCTTTSCTCTTTGTAAGTAGTTTATCTCAGGTATTTTGTCACAGGGACCAAAAGCTGACTACCATACCCTCTCATCTCCCATCTTTTTGGTAGAAAAAAGTCCAAGGAAGGGACAAATGCAATGAGCTATCATAGCTCATCCATACTAACCATGAAGTCCATAAGAATAATTCCCTGATTCTTTAATAAATACTCACAAAATACCCTTCTGGTTGTGTGCATGTTTTCCAAAGGGATGCACATATTTGGTCTACTTGATCTATTTGTCAAGGAAATCTGTTACTTGATATTTTTAGCCATTAAGTGTCTTACAGATTTCCTTGGTGAAAGTCACTTCCCTAAGCCCAAGAACCATGGGCATTGTGAATCTTTGGAATTGCAAAGCTAAAGGTTAGGAATTTAGAAATGGAGAACAAAGCAATGTCCTCCCATATCTTTACAATATTAAGTTACAAAAATATCCTCAATTTTATTTATGAGTTACAGTTTAAAAAAATTAAATCATGTTTGGGGGTGCAGAGAAGGGAGTAAGGAACTTAAGGGATATTCACCTTGTGAAGGTCAGATTATTTTTGGAACGAGTGTTCCTCACATTTTGTCCTTAGCTACCTCTACAGTATTACTTCTTCACATTTGCAATCATTTGGCTCATTTAACAAGCATTTATTTGTTGCCTTCCATTACTCTTACAGGCTCCATGTTAGGTCCTGGGGACATAATAGTCTGACCTTGGGAGAGCTTGCAGTCCAGTGGGAGACACAGAATGAGCTAAGAATACAATACTAGCATGACAAGTAAGAAGGGCACAGCCACTGAAGGAGAGGAAGTGGTCTGAGGTGTGCCATACCTGAGGAGCAACTCAGAATACAGTGGATCTAGTAAGGACTTAGCAGAGTAGTAGAATGATCCATCTACGTGAATGGCACAAGCCTCTGCAGAACAGATAAGGGAAAACTCTAGAATCCAGCAAGAATTCTTAAGAACTATAAGCGACTAATGATTGAAAGGGCAAAAGTGGGTAAACCCAGACCCCCACAACTACTTGATCTTGATGCTCAAGACAGCCACCACCCACCCCTACCACTTCTGTAGGAAACCCCTCTGGTTCTTAGCTGCCTCAAGTACACTACATCTCTCTTAGTCCTTCCAATATGTGTGCCTCAGGCTTCACTGCATCTCACTTAGCCTATAAGCAGGGACTTTAGGGCTGCCACTCTGGAAGCCCTGGCCATGCTGGCTGCCCTAACTGCCACTAAGGAGTGGTGATAACCTGCTCTCCTGGCAGGACAGAGGTTATACTCACAGGCTTGAGATCACAGTGGATGATTTTCTCTACGTAAAGCATTTGCAAGCACTTCAAGACAGAGAGGGTGAAGCGCCGAACTACCGATAGACTAAAACCTTGAAAGCTATTACTCTTCATCAACTCATACAAGTTGATTCTGGGAAAGACAGAAAAAGTGATGAGTATAAAAAGCATCCAAGTTTGAACCTACAAACAATCCTGTGTTATCTGGATTCCCTTCTAGAAGCAAGTAAATCTCAAATCAGTAGGCAAGGTTTTTCTTTCTGATAAACTGAGCCTTCTTAGTGACTCAGGGTAGACCCAGATTGGCACTCAACCATGCTGGATTCTCCAATGTACCCTGATTTCTTACATGACAAAGCCACTTAAGTACTTTATTTACATGAGTGGGTTCAGAGATTGGATCAAATTTCTATAATAGTCTTAGTTCTCAGGCCCTTGGAAGGGCCCTGGAAGCCCACTAGTCACTCAACCAAGTCATTCCTACCCTGACCTAACAAGATTATCTAAATATTGTAGGTAAAGGAGAAAGGGAATGTGCTGACAAGAGAGCTAAGGTAAATGAGGGACTCCTACTCTATTAAAGACAAGTGTGGCTGCTTGGTCCCATCTAACTATGGCTTTGCTATAATGAAGGCTGGCTCTTGCCAGATAATCCTCAGTTCTCTAGAGAGGCAGAATCCTGAAATGTTATATAAAAGCATATTCAATTATATGAAATCTGCTAACTTACAAGTCTTGGAAACTAATGCCAAGCATTTTAAAAAGAAAAACTTGTTTGTAAATTGCCAGTTTGTGATCTTTGTGCAAACTGAGAGACAAAGATAGGAAGGAAAGAGAAGGACCTAGAAATGACTCTGCAGGCTCTTCCTGATCTTCCATTTCTAAGATTATCTAGCCTTGGTGGTACCAGGAATTGAACCCAGGGACACTTAACCACTGAACCACATCCCCAACACTTTTTTATATTTTACTTAGAGATAGGATCTCAATAAGTTGCTTAGGGCCTTGCTAATGGCTGAGGCTGGCTTTGGACTTGTGATCCTCCTTTCTCAGTCTCTTGAGCAGCTGGGATTACAGGGGTGCACCATTGTGCCTGGCAAGTCATTCATTCTTGAGAGGTACAACAGAGAAATGCCATCCTGACCTGGGCGCCTCCACCTTACTGGGCTTAGGATTCTCCTTCTACACACTGGCCTCTCTTGACCTCACAGAGCCCTTTTAAAGTACCATGATGTCCTAACTGGGCATTGTGATTAACGGGCAAGAAAGGCAGCCTGGACTGTCTGTTTTGCTCCACAGAAGACGATCCACTGTTGCATATGGTAGGGTAGAACACATTTTGTAATTACCAAAGATGGTGAGGGGAGTGCCCATGCTCCCTCTCAAATATAGCCTGTTCCTAGAACCTCACCATCAGTGATGGTGTCGTGGGAGCACCAAGCACTAACTCAGGGAATCCAGAAACATATGTCTTCTAAGGGTTCACCCTGATTTTTCTCCTTTGCTAAATGTCTTCTTGGCTTGTTTAAATTGCAGCATATTGACTTCTCAGAGAGAAGAATAATCAAATTAGCATGCCTTTTCCCATTTAGAATGCTTTTTCAGTTCCAATATTCACCCAAATGACTCTGCTCCCTTACCCAAATATCTGCCCTTCTCCTTCTTTACTCAGAATTAAAGTCCTTTCCCCACTCTGATCATCCAGCTTCCTGTTCTTTTAGGTTTCAGCCTCTATACCGTAGAGATGGGAAGCCAGTGTGTGGGGAACATGATAGCAAAGAAAGTCCTTTTAAACATGTTTCAATTCAGCTCTTGAGGGCAGAGGCCTTGTTTTGGACTTTCCACCTACTCAGTACTCAGACCTCAGCACCAGGGAAGCACAACATGAGTATGCTGGCAGATAACAGGTTGACTGAGGAATGGGGTGAGATCTCCGTTTGGGGTCCCGTTCTCCTCACTCCTGGACCTTCTAGATAACTGTGCGACTGCTATGTCTACACTAGTCACTAGACATTCACGCCCAGAAAAATCTAGTTTTATGACTTCAAAGTTTTTCTTCAAGTTCCCTTAAGCAACTTTTTCAAAAGAAAATGAGTCAAAAAGACTGACCCCAAAAGTTCAAAGGTGATGCAGAGGTGATTGCGGAAGTAGAAAAAGTCCTTCATGTGTACCACATTGTACTTGTTGTCTTTATCCTTCCTTCTGAGGGCTTCCAGGATCCTCAGCTCCACCAGGGCCTGGTGGTGAAATCTGAGGTGATTGGGGAGTGGCAGGGAGGGTGGGGAATGAGGACAGAAAACACAGGTATCACGTCATAGTACAGCAGTTAGCCCATTTCCTCAGACCCTACCACAACCCCAACAGAAATGTCTAACACTGCAGAAAGCACTCATAACTCCACACTCTTACTTCCGCTTTGCCCCTTCATGGACTCAGACATGAAGAGAGAGAAATAGGAAAGGGAGAATAAAGAGAAATATAAGAGGAAGAGGCAGGGGCAGAAAGGCTTGGAGTCCTGAAGCAGCTAGAAGCCAGGCAATCCATCTTCTATGGCCTAGGTCATCCATGGAGCCACACCTCTTTTTGTTCCTGATGATTTTCAGGGCCACCAACTCATTGTTTTTGTGATCCAAGCACTTGGCCACCTGTCCAAAGGACCCTTTTCCAATCATCTCCAGAACCTCGTAGCGGTAGGCAATGTGGTCATGCAGGACCTGCAGAAGCCAGGCCAGAGGTGAGGAAAAGAGCCAGAGCCCAGGGCCCTTGGATCCCCATCCCTAGATCATGGGTCACTCCTTGGAGGGGGTGGTTCTGAACTCCCACCCTTCTCTCTGTTTCTGTAGTGGTTAGGTGATCTCCTGGATCCAAGACCACCCATGTGGTGCCAGGGGCAGTTAGTTCCACAGGCTCCATCCATGTCAAGCAGTGAAAAGAACATTAGTTAGTCTTTGGAAATGTTGGGTGCTCGTCCCAGCCCTTTAGTTTCCTGCATGTCTTTCTTAGGACCTAAAAAGTAAGGGGGCTGGACAAAACTGAAAGTCCTTTCTATTTCGGACCTTTCATGATTCTTCAAGTTCAACATCAGCTCCCTTTTAGGGGAGTTCTATCTCTGACCCTTGATGTGCCTCTATCAATCAGAGAAGGCTTTATGCCTGTTCTGTTCCTTCCTGACCAGATTTGGTCCTCTCCTAGTCTTATTCATATTTAGTCCCCTTCTGAAGTTAATACAGACTTTCTCGGTGAGAGTAATATTTTCTAAGAGCCAGAATTATCCATGACTATCCTTGTGCAAGAAACCAGGTGTTTAGTTAAAACCACAGGAAATTTTCCATTAAAGACTTGAGCTAGGTGGCTTCAAATAAGTCACTTATGTACTCTGAGCTAGATTGACCTCATCTGTGAAGATGAAGATGAGAATCTGGATAAGATGATTTCTAAGGTCATCAGGCTCTTGATCTCAGCTTTCTACAATTACACATGAATTTGAAAGAGGTGAGGGATGAGCGTGTACAAGTTTTCAGGCTGGTTTGTGACTGTGTGTTTGAGGATAAAGGATTATTCACAAAGAAGAATCAACACCATAAATTTGAGCATGTAAAACTTTTTACTGATACATCAGAGAGGGTTAGTCTAGACTAAAGGTCTTTCATGAAAATGGGACAGAATCTGCACAAATTTGGCATATATTTTTCAAGCATTTACATTTATCTTCTTCATGTCATCAGTTTGGTTGCCTCATAATTATTGGCTTACATGTCAACTTGGACTTTGGTTGTGCTTACTTGACTCATGATAATTCCCTTTGTATTTTCAGAGTCTAATAGATGCCAAGCTTATGACAGGTGCTCAGTAAATAATTTTACAATTAACATTTGTTGTGAGAATGTAGCTGTCATTTGTTTAGGAATTATATATTTGTGTATATGCTGGAATAAAATAGGAATAAAAATTGGAGCTTTCAGAGAATGCACATTATCCCTCTCTCCCCATGAAAATCATACTTCTCTAAGATTTGAGACTGAAGAACTGAGTTCCAGTGAATTCCCATAAAGGTAGTACTGACACCCCAGGTAATTTCTTAGAGACTCTAGACTCAGGTAGGGCAAAGCAAAGGAAGGAGCAAGGAGTGAGGGGTTGTGGACATGTGGTTGAATTGGAGAAAATGTTTATATTGAAGATTTTTAACCAAGGACCCATTAGTGCCCCAAAGCATTGCACATGCACAGCTTAATGTTTCTGGGATGAGGATACTCAAAAGGATCCTTGACCTAAAATTGTTAAAAACCAGGGTTCTAGATGAAGAGTGAGTGATAAAATCACATCCTTGCTTCTTAAAAGTGTTACCTAAGGACCTGTGGTATAGGCTTCACCAAGATGCTTTTCAGAAATGCAAAATCTCAGGTCCCACCCCAGACCTGCTAAACACAAATCTGCACTTGAACAGGAACCCAAAGTGATTTGTGTGCACAGTCAAACTTGAGAAACATGATGTTAAGAAAATTTATCTCTTCTATGAAGCCCTCAAAGATTCATATCCTAAAACCAAGTTGTGATGGAATTTCCAGAAGTAGGAAAGTGCAGACAGCTCACAGCCTGGTGGATTAAGTGTCACTCATGCAGGCATCCTCAGAAGAGGGGGTCACTGTCCAGATTTCATCCTCAGGCTAGAGAGAGGCATTACCCTGGGATCCCCAGAGGTACAGTCAGAAAAGGAGGAGTCTCTGCAATCAATTTTTGAAAAATGGAATGAAGTAAAGCACTGTGCATGAGGGACACTACAGTGACAAAAACTATTCTTGTCTGTGGAGGGAATGACATCTGCTATAAAACACAAAAGGGCCCATGAATGGGAGACAAAAAGGGAGATTGAGGGGCAAGTGCATCTTACTCCAGTCTGATCTTTTCCAAGGGGTCCAGGACTGGTACAAGAGAATAGCCTGTGAGAGTTCACTCAGGATGCAAACTTGTTATCCTAAATACCCTTGAAGAAAATCACCATTCTGTTAGAAGATTTTGCATACTAAATTTCATGTTTAAACAAGGTGTTTATTTGGTTTAGCACCTATTAGCATCTGTTGGAATGTCTAGTTCCTGTCATCTCAACACAAAACATTATAAAATATCCCCTTCTGCTTTCCTTTCCATACTCTCTATTGCACCCAAGCCACCTGAGGTCACCATGACCTCCTCCCTCATCACCTTCAGATAGGAGCCATGTTCATCATCAAAACTTGTCTTGCTGAATTTCTCTGGAGCCACATTGAGTTTCTCAGCATCAAGCCCCAGGAACCATAGCTCTGTGTAGCCCAGGATTTCACTTTGCTCATAAGGAGACAGCTTACTCTTAAAATTCTTTAGGGCTTCTATGTGAAAAAACAGGA